CTGACTCCACCTACTATTGCCTTGTCCTTGATCGTGAGCGTCCGGAGGACATGCTTCCAACGGACAAACCCGACCAAGCCCCCCCCTCCAACCCCACCCTCACCTCCCGCCAGATTACCTCCGGATCGTGGTGTGTCTCACACCATCGATTTGGAGCCCAGTCACTCTCCACCTTGCCGTCCTCTGTACCAACTCTCCATTTCGAAAGTCGAAGAAATGAAGCGACAACTCAATGAACTCCTTGAAAAAGGATTCATTAAGCCAAGTTCATCCCCATTCGGCACAAGCTGCCTTTTCGTCAAGAAAGGCGGAACATTGGAACTCCGGATGTGCACAGACTACCGCGCCTTGAATCGGATCACGATCAAGAACAAATACCCCCTACCTCGGATCTCCGAGCTTCTTGATCGCCTCCGTGGAGGCAAATATTTTACCAAAATTGACCTCCGCAGTGGCTTCCACCAGATCCGCATCCGTGAGGACACCCACAAGACCGCATTCCGTTCTCGCTTTGGGCACTACGAGTTCCTTGTGATGCCCGTCGGATTCACCAACGCCCCCGCCACATTCCAATCCACCATGAACCACATCTTCTGCGACCTCGTCGAAGTCTGTATCGTCGTTCACCTCGATGATATCCTTGTCTATAGCCACCTTCGAGTCCCCCCTTCAGCATCTCTACCAAATCCTCTCTATCCTCAGAGAGCAAAAATTCTACGCCAAGCTCAGCAAGTGCACCTTTGCCGCTTCAAGCGTTGAATACCTTGGCCACATCGTCTCCGTTGAAGGAATACGCATTGACCCCTCGAAGGTCACCGCCCTCGTCTAGTATCCACCACCCAAGACCCTACTCCAACTTCAATCATTTCTCGGTCTTGCCAACTACTACCGCCTCTTTATCCGCAACTTCTTTGACATCTTGCACCCCCTCCACGAACTCACCCGCAAGGACAAACCCTTCACTTGGAACGACCGCCGCCAAAACGCCGTCGACTTCCTCAAACAAACCATCACCATGGCCCCCATCCTCAAGATCGCCAACTCCTCTCGACATTTCTACGATACCACTGATGCATCCGAATTCACCCTTGGAGCCGTACTATCCCAACACTTCTCTCGCAACACCTCTGAAACCCCCTAAATCAAAAACTCCCCCAACGAGTACCCCATCGCCTTCGCTAGCAAGAAGCTCCTTCCCGCGGAGATGAACTACCCCTCCAACGAGAAGGAACTCCTCGTCGTGATCCACGCCCTGAAAGTTTGGCGTCCGTACCTCGACGGGCAATACTTCACCTTCCACATTGACAACACCATCGTCTCCTTTATCCTCACTACGAAAGACATCACGCCGCGCCAAGAGACTTCCTTGCCCAATTCACATTCACCATTTGCCATTGAGGCCGTTGGTCGGTCGCGTTATCTCATTGGAGTATAGCCAAGTGGAAAGGCATTAATTTTTTATACCGACATGCAAAGGTTCGAATCCTTTTACTCCAATGATTAATTCCAATTCAGTTTTCGTTTTGAAAGTTGACGTATTAAACTTCGAAAACCTCCAAAAGAAGCCAAAACAAAACCTATCCAAATACAAAAATGAAAAGTAACTTCATTATGGTAGTATACCAACCAGTTTCAAAACTTCCAGTTCCTATCAAAGCATAGAGATCTGTGAAAAAGTTCGTACGTATAGCGACTTTAGTAGTACTGGTTTCTGGATTCGAAAAACAAAATCTTTTTTTTTTGGAAACATAACAAAGCTATCGACACTACGCGTCAAATCTTCAGTACTTTGCAGGCGCTCGCAAGAGATCACTTTTTCAAAGTAATGATGCGCCGCAACGTTGGTGTCATGATTAGAAACACATATTATGTTTCCACAAATGGATCGAAAAGTAGGTCCATGTAATTGATCAATACTTCGTAAACAACACAACCTTCCGTTGCCTATATTTTGTTCAAAACCAAAGTGCATGATTTGAGTAATTTGTATCTTTTTTGTATTGGATAAGATAAACACCTGTAATCAAAATATGATTTGAGTAATTTGTATCTTTTTTGTATTGGATAAGATAAACACCTGTAATCAAAATACAAACTTCTCCATGTGACAAATCATATTCATTGATGCCGAAGGTTTGAACAAAAATAAATTGAAAAAGAGAAAAAAACAAAGAGCACAGCAGAAAGACTCTAGATACGACAACACCCCCAGCAAAAGCAACCACGTCGCCGATGTCCTCTCTCGGCGCCCCAACCACAAGCCCTCTGAGAAAGTCTACGCCGCCATGACTCATATCCAACTACCATCGTTCCACCACCGCTACACCCAAGTCTACCTCACTTGCCTGGATTTCTCAACAATCTACAACAAACTTCGTGATCTCGACTTAGTCCCCGACTACTCCCTTCACAATCAACTTCTTTACATTGACACCAAAGGCACTCGCCGACTTCGACCGTGTGTCGCACGCCACCACGGTCTCCCCGAGAACATCATCAGCGACCGTGACCGTCGCTCCTTTCACAATTCAGGAAACACCTCTTTAAAGCCTATGGAACCACGCTTAAGTATAGCACTGCATTCCACGCACATACCGATGGACAACCGAGAAGATGAACGATACTCTCCAAAGAATCCTGCGGAAGTATTGTCATCCACATCAACACGATTGGGATCAGTTGCTCACCGCCGCCGAGATCGCCTACAACAATGTTGTTTGTCCTTCCACTCGCATGTCTACCTTGACCTTCACTATCATCCGCGCTTGCCCTCCGACTTCCTGCTCCCCTCGCAACTCAACCCATCCACCCCCTGCCCTTCTCTCAATGAATGGGTAGCAACAATGAACAGACTCCTCAGAGAAGCGACCGAAGCCCTTGAATGAGTAGAAGAACAGCAAGCCAACAAGACCAACAAACAAAGACGAAACGTAACATTCAAAGCAGGGGACAAAGTCTAGCTCTCCACCAAACGCTTTGAACCCGAACACGGCTCCCACATCAATTACAAGCTCCAACTCCCTCCTAACATGAGTCATGTCCACCCTATCTTCCACGTAGAATACTTAAAAGAATACCATGAATCCCCACCCCACTTCGCTGACCGCCCTTACCCCAGACCTCCACCGATCATGATTCCCACAGGCCCAAAATTCGTAGTAGAATCCATCATAGGTCCACGAACCACACAAGTATCAGACCATCCAAAACCAATCACAAAATACAAAGTTAAATGAACCGGATACCTTGACGAAGAATCCACATGGGAACCTCTTCCTAACCTAAAGAATGCTATGAAACTTGTTCGATTGATTGTGCTCACCCTATATCCTAGATACATAATATAACTCAAACCCTAAGCTCTTGCATAAGCCCCGCCTTGACCCCGCCTTGACCCCGCATTCCTGCTCTACCCACACCCGTGTACCTAGCGAAGCCCTTGCCTCTTGACCCCCCCCCCCCCCCCCCCCCCCCCCCCCCCCCCCCCCCCCCCCCCCCCCCCCCCCCCCCCCCCCCCCCCCCCCCCCCCCCCCCCCCCCGGATCCGATTTGCCCACCGCCTTGCCCCGTTCTCCCATCTGTCCTCCGCCACATCTTTGTCTCTCTTGTCCAAATCCTCTATGTGGCCCCTGCGCGTCGCCGACGGTAATGGATCTAATGGCAAGCGAGCGAGGACGATGGCATGTTGCAGCTCAGCACGAGGAGATAAGACAGTTGGTTGGCCACCATGTTGTTCCCTTTGGTCGACACCTTGGATTCACAGACTTCTGAAGCAACACCTCTGACATTGACATCAAGATCAGTCTGCAACCTGCTATCCGGATCAGACCTCGTCATCAGATCATGTACCAGACACAACCTGCTACTGCGACAATCAAGCTGAAGTCCTCGCCGTCTACATCACAGAACTGCTGAAGCCTCTTTCCTCATCGCCACTACTGTGACACCCGCTGAGACCTTCCCCAGGACATTTCTTCGCTTTTGACACTTTGTTACAGACCTGAGACGTTCTTTTCCCAAACCCCTCAGACACCCCAGCACTTGAGCATCGAACAAACAATTTTTTATTTTTCATTTTTCTTTCTCAAACCTGACAACCTACAACCTTGTAGAACACCATAAGGACCTCCTGGTTAACTGTACAGCCTCAGTAAGATTACCCTATTACTCGAGCATTGATTCCCTCAACCCTGTAGAACCTCAATAGGATTACCCTGTTACTTGAACATTGATTCCCTCATCTTTGTAGATAAGACCCCGGGAGTAGACAGCCTCCCTAAGGAATTTTGGGAAACCATGTGGTCCGCCCTTTCTCCTGATTTAATGCAGTATTTTCGAAAGGCCTGGGAATCAAGAAAAATGGGGGAGATAGTGAGTCAAGGTATACTCACACTACTATATAAAAAGGGGGATAAATCAAACATCAGGAATTATGGACCAATAATTCCACTAACTAACAAAAAAGCCCTTGCAAATCGTATGATTCCCGTGATGCCTGACATAATCCACATCCATCTCAAACAGGATTTATAAATGGTCGCCACGTTCAAGATAACATCTTTTTAATTAATGAAACGGTCAAAGTTGCGCGACAATCTAAGGAAAATACAGCAGTGGTCTTCATAGACTTTAAAAAAGCTTATGATCATGTTGATTAGCGATTCTTGGACGACTGCTTGCAAAGGCTGAATTTTGGACCAAATATGCGGAGATGGGTTTAAATTCTTCACACAAATGCAACCACACAAATTTTGGTAAATGGGCGCTATCTCCGAAAATCCATATTCAGAGGTTAGTTAGACAAGGAGACCCCTTGGCCCCTTTCCTTTTTGTGATCGTGATGGAGGCTTTGGGGGCCAACCTAAGAGCTAATCATAATATCAAACGTCTATCTATCTCAGGAATACCAGAAGAGGCAATACCATCAATGTTTGCAGATGATTTAACGATCATTATGGACGCCTCAGGGGCAAATATGGAAGAAATAAAAAATATGCAAGATAAATTCTCTGCACTTTCAGACATGATGGTTAATTGGGGAAGTAAAACGCAAGGGTATATAATGGTTGCCCCTGGACGCCCCGCTGAGAGTGTTCGGGTCCGCCCTCCTGAAGTCCCCAAGGTACAATGGTTGCCCCTGGACACCCCGCTGAGAGTGTTGGGAGTATCTCTACCGGCATCAGGTAAGCCCGTATCCAACGATGAATGGATTTCGAAGCCATCGATACAAAAGATGAATCAATGGAAGAACCAACACACCTCGCTTTTTGGAAGAACATTAGTAATAAATAATGTTATTCTTGCTTCCATATGGTACAAATCAGCAATATTGGCCATTAGTAAACCAGGAACCAAGCACCTTCAAAAACAGGTGATGGCCTTTCTCTGGAGAGGGAACCATGAGTTGGAGAGCGTGACCCCTACAGTAGCATGGTCCACCCTCATTCAACCAAAATCTAGGGGAGGGCTGGGAATCCTGGACCCTACCCTACAATGTCAAGCCTTGTCACTCCAATGGATGATTGATCTTATTTTAGGTATTGACAAGCCTTGGCAACCCTTGGCTCTTCAACAAATTAGAAAACTGGTGCCGATAGCACCACCAGAAATACATCCCCTTACATGGGTAGAGAACTTATTTTGGAATATCCCTCGCCCTTCTGCACGTTCGAAATTCGAAGGGGAAAGAGGAGCAGCATGTCGAGATCTACTATTAAATAATCTATGGGTGTCCCTACCGAGGACGTGGAGAAAACTACGTCTTCCAAACAAATCCTCACCCACACATTTTGAGGAAATCTTGAGACAACCACTTTTTGGGAATAGATGGATAACGGATGTTAATGGTTGTGTGTATAATAGTTCTACTCCATGGTCACAGTGGGTGAAAAAAAGGGTAATACGGGTCAAAAACATTTGGGATCAGGAGAAAAAAGGGTGGAAGACGGCAAAGCAACTTAGGAAAACAATTACTTACGCGCACAAATTGGACCAAAATTTGGACCGAATCATTAGCTCTATCCCCCTGGCATGGGTCAAAAAATTAAGAAGAGGGATAAGATTTCAAGAAGGAGACTTTGTGATGATTACACACGACCCAAAAGATTGGCAGGTTGGGCAAATAATGAGTATATTAAATGAAGGAGCATTAATGACCTTGTTCAAAATAACAGCAAAGCATGTAATCCGAGCTTCATCTACTAAGCAAGTTGAATTCTTTCCCTTTAAGGAAATGTTTAGAATTAGAGTGATCTTTATGCCAGCAACCACAAGATGGAGAATCTTTTACCCTCAATGCCCAATTCCTGACCTTCCCATAGATCCAGAAGAATGGAAATGGCAAACAACGAAAAGGACGAAACCCCATACTCTACAAACTCTAACGGTGAAGGCAGTATATCAGATGATGAGACGAAGAGTGGATGTGTCGTCCGTAATAAGAGAACAATGGACAAGACATCTGAACATTGATGCACAAAGTATAAAGAGCATCAAACTCTTTGATAAACTTAAAAAACGACCAGCTAAATTTTCCTCCTTACAATGGCAAATTCTCCACCGTTGCTTACCAACCAATGATTGGCTCATAGATCACACCAATCTGGAGCAACGTGGGCTGGCGCTTCCATGGTGTAAAGCGTGTCTTACTGTCAAGACATCTGAACATTGATGCACAAAATATAAAGAACATCAAACTCTTTGATAAACTTAAAAAACAACCAGCTAAATTTTCCTCCTTACAATGGCAAATTCTCCACCGTTGCTTACCAACCAATGATCGGCTCATAGATCACACCAATGTGGAGCAACGTGGGCTGGCGCTTCCATGGTGAGTAAAGCGTGTCTTACTGTCTTCCCACAAAAGAAGATCAGAGAAACAATTGAGCATGTGTTTGTTCAATGCCCAAGAACGATTCTAATATGGAGAAGGTGGGACTGTGTGTGGAGGAGGTTGACGGGCATTGACTGGCCATTGGATTGGAAAGCCATTCTCCTCGGCCAATGGGTACCACTAGAAACACAATCATCAAAATTCCGGACAATTTTTTTTGACATAGGAAGAAAAGCTATTCTATGCTCTCTGTGGTACAAAAGATGTGTACATGAAAGAGAAGATGTACAGCTAGAAGGAAAGGAATTTGCTGATTTAATTGTTCAGTTTGTACAGACATAAATACGGGCACACTGGCCAACGGTGAGATCCAAAATACAACTGTTCCACCAGAAAAAAAACATCATCAATTGTATTCAAAAATTCAATCAAGAATGGCTGGGGGGATATGAAGGAGAAAGCTTGGGAGAGGTGAAATGGTCGGGAAGGGAAGAACAGGGGGAATCCCTGAAGAGGGACTTTCAAGGACTGGTTTTCACTTCCATCAGGAGTCTAACTCAGATCTTCGGATTGCTTTCCTGACCCCTTCCCACTCTCGAACCTGGCCTTCGTAGACTTGCGTTGGTATGCTTTGTAATATGGTTAAATCCCGAAAGAACAGGGATATCAGTGCCTGATAGTTCCTTTTAGCTTATTAGGGAGCTAAGATTAGGAGAGAATGATGCTATCTTTGGAAGAAGTATCTGGTGGCCTAAGCCTAGGCTGAAGAGGCAGGTCCTACTCTCTGAGTACTTTATTTAAAGTTGTGGTCCGGATTAATATGTGTGGGATGCTGGACCTGATTTCCAGCAGGTACAGCTACCCACCAATAAAATGGAGCCAGCACCCGGGCTACTAGTGGTGGATGCTCGTATCACCACCACTAGCAACTCAGCTGAGTTAAAAAAGAAAAAAAGGAAAAAAGCAAAAAAAAGAAAAAAAGAAAAAAGAAAAGAAAAGAACCCCAACGGTCCCCCATAGGATTACCCTGCTACTTGCATTACTCCCCCTTTCCTTTTCTGACCAGTGGTCAGCCCCGTCCCGTTCTTCACAGTTGTTCATTGGGTCTTTGGCAGCCGGGACGTTGCCTTCCAGAGGGAGGGGATAGTGTTAAGGACCCAACCAGGGCTCGATCCCTGGCCCACGGGTTACCACTCGCCAGGCTGCTATTCTATGTTTTTTTGGAGTCTTTGATCTCCAGTTCCTGACTGTTCGCGACCTCTGCAGTTGGCCCGCGTTCTCAAATCCCGCCTCTGCCACTTTCAGATTTCGTACTTGGCACCATCCGGCATTCTGGCGCCCAGGCTCAGACCTTCCATTTTCAGTTCAGCCCCGAGGCAACTGCACTTTTGCCCTCGGACTCAACTTGAGTCCGGTACTTAAGACCGGACTCAAGCAGAGTTCGGGGACTCAGTTTTCAGCCTCAGTGCTTGTGCTTCAGTGTGACTTGCTGCGACATTGTTTACGGAACCAAGATTGCGACTTTGCGACTTTGCGACTTGGCCACTTTGTCCGTGTCGAGTTGAGAGAGTGTGTGTGTGTGCTCTCACTCCCTCCCTCTCTCTTCCCCCACCTCGCTGCTCTGCCTCAGCCCCGTCACAGTTAGGGCACGCCAAGTATATATGATGTTGGTTCACATCAAGGTCCATGTTTCAGCAGTTATGGGACCACTGAGCACGCGGGCAATAGCAGGCCAACTCACCACGTGCTTTTCAGGGCCTCCCTCCACTAGTCACCAAATGTGCAAAACTAGAATATATCTTCTGCTAGAACATGGAATCATACGTCACCATATGTTTTGTCCTTTGTGCAAGTGGTGACGAGTGGAGCAAGGCCCTTAGGGCAACTGGTCGTAGGAAAACCAAAGAAAAGAAAGAGAGAGCCACCAAATGTGCAAAACTAGAATGAATCTTCTGCTAAAACATGGAATCATACGCCGCCATACGTTTTGTCTTTTGTGCAAGTGGTGACGAGAGGAGCAAGGCCCTTAGGGCCACTGCTCGTAGGAAAACGAAAGAAAAGAAAGAGAGCTACGGTAGCAAGTAGTTGTAACTTGTAACCCATAAGCACTGGAAAACAGACCTGACCTGCTTCGCTCTCACACAAAAATTGCTGAACATCTCTCGAGGTGTTCGGGCCCTTGCAGATGCACTGCTGGGGTCCGGTGGGAAAAAGACTATTCAACGAGGAATACGTGGTCCCCTTTTTTTTTTCTGTGCCCTTAAATTTTTCAGAAGGGAGGGGCACCACTGGCTACCTCAGCCAGCCCTCTACAATTTTTTTTTTTTTTTAACCCTATTTTTTGGGGTGCGCCGAATCACATGCGCGCGCATGCTTGCGCGTGCTCTATGCGCCGCACGTGCGGAGCTCGCGCGCATGCAATGCACCGCATGTATGGATAAGATCAATCAAGAGAAAGAACCTCCAATGGTTAGTGACCTATGTAGCTGTCCCCATCGACCAATGGGTTCAGATAAGACGCTAGAAGAATGACCCCAACAGTACCAACATATGCAGTGTGTTCAGAGCAGGAACAGGAGAAATTACAGTCATTGTCTGATTAGATACAAGGAAGCCACGGAATAGTGGGCCAGAGCAGTTTATGGGACAGCCTAATAGCCTATTCACCTCTCCCACCTCTGGACTAACCTCCCATCCCACCTTACTAAACCGGGAAAATTTTGGTTTGGAACGATCAGAAAAGTCACAATGTGGACCATTTGGAAGGAACGATGCAGCATTACCCTGGACAAGATATGGAACACAAGGGAAGATTGCAACAATTGAGATAGAAAAAACACCACATCCAGATGAGACCAGAAGACCAAGGGAGACTGAAAGCAGTTTACGGGACAGCCTAATAGCCTATTGAAATCAGACTTGCTCCAACTCCTTTCCACATGCATACAAACAGATGACAACTTGGACTGGCACAGTGCGCCCACACAAAGCTCAGAGATAGGAACGTGGCCAGGAACACAGTTGAGATTCACTTGTCTCGAATGGCTATGGCGCCCAGCGCCTAACAAAGATTCCCACCCGATCAACTGTATCCACCAGCAACATGTCCGCACGCACACACACACACACTCTAACTAGGATCACCCTGAATGTCCCACACGCCAGAGATGAGCATTTTTTTTTGGAATTGGCACTTCACCCAACCCGCCCATAATTTTTTAACCACCCCCTGCCCTAAAAAAAACAAAAACAAAAAATCTCAAGGCGACCTAACCCACCCGAGTGTTTTTTTGAAAATTTCCACCCACACCCAACCCGCCCGTCACCCGTAAAAAAACTTCACCCTGACCCACCCACATCCGCGAGAACAAAATTACCCGCCCGCACCCGATACCTAATTATTTTCCACCTGCACCCGCCCATTCCCCATTGTCTCAGTCCCTTTGAACATTTGCACGCACCATACCAACATGACATCCATGGCTGCAGAAATTCGAATCGCTCCACAAGTTTGAAATTGGGTAGTGAACCTAAGGATTGCCACTTGCTGTGGTTAGGTCCGATCCCCGCTGTTTTAATGGGAGCGAACATCCTGTTGTCTGGGCCGTGGTCCAGCTGCCACCAGTAGAACGTGACACATTTTTTCAAGGAGGACCCCAAATTTTTAGTTGCCACTAGCGCGACTTTTTTTTTCAAGGATGATAACTTTTTTTCCCCGGGGCCCCAGGGTGGAGACTTTCCGTTTCCTGGGCCTCCAACCTTTGAAGTCCACAGATGGACCGACGTTTGAAGTCCACAGATGGACCGCAGCTGGAAAATATGTATAAGGGGGGTGGGGGGTCGGGGGGAGGGTTCTTATGGGTTGTCCTGGGTCTGTGGGTCGGGTGACCCAGGCCTAGCGTTCACCCGCTTGTCACCCACCCATTCGGGTGACCCTGGCCTAACATAGACCCGCCCGTCACCCACCCAGGCTTGCTCGCCTTGACCCACCCTCATCCTACACATGCAAGCTTATCAAGACCCACACCTGACCCAATGCCTCGTGGGTGGGGTGGGCGCGGGTGGGTGTGGGTCTGGGTACCCGTTGCTCATGTCTGCTCAGAAAAGAGTCTCTAAATCATGTAATGCAAGGGAAACCAGACCAGGACCTGATTTCCGGAGTTTCCAGGTCCAAACAAAGACCCTACAAACTCACAGAAAAGACGAGAATTGGAGCCCAAATCTCTGGTTCGGCGATCTCATCCTTGGTTGTGAAGTTCAATCTGGCAGACTGGGCTGAGAGGAAAGAGAGGAACAATGGCTGCCAGTGGATCCTCCAGAAATGGAGCAATCAATGCCGATCAGGTCTCCTCCGGCTGAACGGAAGGAAGCATTGTGAATGTGTACCTATTGTAAATCCATGACTGGCTGGGGGAGAAGAAACCAGACTGATGCTCCCCCAGAATGGACATAGAGCCGGCAATTTAACGACCTGTTTTTTGGTAAGAACAAGGTAACTACGGCCGTGTCGAAATCTGAGTTTCGAGTTGCAAATGAAACTCGTTTTCGCAGCCCAAGTTTACATAGAGCAAGAACTCAGGCCGCCATGGCAGACACACTCCACGTTACTATAAGCACTTTATTAGTAA